TACTTTGTTCAGAATGTCTTTTTCCTAATCAATGTATTACTTTAAACATCATAGTTGCTCAGTCAATCATGTTGAAGGGCTAACGATATGAAATCCTCCCCACCCTCTGTATTCAGTTATGTTCTTTGCAACAGCAGTAGGAATTGAATACTGTCCCAGTCCTCAGCTTAACTGACATTTTCTTATTTCAGACAATAGAAGACCATGCCTTGAATTTTCTCAGCTAAATGTAAAGGATTCCTTCAGAGATTTATTTAATCCCAGAATAGAGATAATTCTGATGATGTATACAAGGAACAATCTAAACTGTGCTGAGCCGCTATTTGAGCACAATAACTCACTTAATATTAATTTCAACACACAAAAGAAAACAATTTGGCTTATCCATGGATACAGACCAATGGGCTCCACTCCATCATGGCTTCAGAATTTTCTAAGGATTTTGTTGAATGAAGAAGATGTGAACATAATTGTAGTAGACTGGAACCGGGGTGCTACAACTTTTATTTACAATAGAGCAGTTAAAAACACCAGAAAAGTTGCTGAGAATTTGAGTGGGCACATTAAAAATCTTTTGGTAAGTTTGGGAATTTTATGCATTACACATGCTATGCAATATACAGTGTTTTATGCAGTACCACAAAGTGGTAATAAAATACATAATTTTTCCCCATACACTTTAAGAATTACTGCTTTGATGTACTCATGTATTCATCCATCTTTTCTTTGTCTGACTAAATGGATAATTATATAATTAGACATGACCTATCTTATTTTTTTAAAAAAAAATCTTAAAGATTCAGTTTTTATGTTGTTTTAAGATTTTTTTTTTTTAAACTATGCCTCTACCTACTTCAGTATAAAGTAGTGAATTTATGTGGGCAGAAGGGATAAACTTTATATTTGTTAAAGTCTTTAGATATTTTTTTAAAGGTATGGCTAACATGTTTGTAATTAATCAAGTGTTAATTGTGAAAAGTGAGGAAAAAAACAGCTTGAAAAGTAACATACTTTTGTCAACATTGGAGACAGACCTGAGTTCTATTCAAGTCTGCTCAGGGTTTGGATGGGTCAAGTAAGTTCAGGCCAGTTCCAGGTCATCTTAGCTTGAGTGATTCTCTTTTCCTAGATCCATGTCTATCCTCAGAGAAAGGTGGTGGTGATGGGTACTTGAGAGAAAGATGAGTGATGTCTGATTTGGGGGCATTCTTGGCCTTGAAATTTGTACTTGAATTGTATTGTGCTGAACTTGCAAGCTTCTGATAAAATTGAACAAACATAACAATCCAAGAAGTGGTTACATGTAGATGTTATGAATCACGCTAGATGGATTCAATGTCCAAATCCATCTCTTATCATCTGTGTGACTTTAGCAATCACATACCTCCCTGTGCTGTGTTTCCTTATTTGTACATTTAGGATAACAAAATTTTATAGTAAT